CACAGTGATAGCGTTTACAGTGAGCGTTGTTTTGCATGGGAGCACATCTTCAAGCATTCCCCCTCCCTTCACTCCCTCTTTCCACTGTTAATTCATTGTGACGGGGCCTGTCTCCCCTTCCGCATGGGGGCTCACGCCAGCCACGGGGTGGTCTCTATCTAGGAGCTGGCTCCCAATAGTGGAAGCTCCTGGATATCGCAGGCACCCAACTTCTATTTTAGTGATGCAGTTGTTAAAGACTAGTTAGTGAGAGTCTTGGCTCACAAGTCTGCTAAAGGAGAATTTTTTCAGTGTGGTATGTTAACGTAGGCTTGTTTTCACTGTTACTACAGATATTCATTTCCAAGTCGTATGACGCCACCACACATTTTGAGACAGTCTGTGAGGACATCATGAGCATGTATGAGAGGATCACAGGAGAAAAGTTTGACCTAAGTGCAATATCTCTTGCAGAGGTAGATGTTGAAGAATCGTAACATAAAATACAAATAATTATTGATAATTGTAGCTTATAAATGATTAAATGTAACAATTGTAAGTACTGGGATTATTTGCAGTAAGCATGTTTATAAACCCATGCACACAGACAACACTTACTTAGAATTCAAAAGTGATTGCCCAAATTTAAGTAATGAACATTTGTAAAGCACTGTTTCCCAATTATTTTGTTGATTCACTGCTGAAGTTGGAAAGAATTACAGCTTGGTATGTTGAGGGTTAGTCAACCATTTAAAAATAGTCTTATATAAAAATGCTTCTTTGTGATCTTTACATTTTATTATTTAATAATATTAGTACTAACGAATGTCAATGCCAGGCAAAGCAGTGATTAACCATTGTTGTAACTAGTCTAAATGCTAATTAAATAGAGCAGTCTTCAATTGAGTGTCAAAAGTAATCAGATAATTACTTTCATTGGTTTTGGTTTTACTAGAGTTTGAGATTCACTGTGTAGTCAACTGGTAAGTAACTGGTGTGGTTTTACTTTTATGACACTTAATTGAAAACCACTCATGTTAAGTTGAGTTGGTTGCAGGAGTAGTTCAAATGACTCAACATCACAATTCAGATAAAGTTCTCCAAGCTGTATTGAACACAACAGGGATACAAGTGCACAACACGAACAACTAACTCCAGTGTAACCTAGCCTCCAAAGCATGTGGACTTAACAAATAATTTATGCTAGGTCACAAGACCTATCGTTTCAATACACAATGAATTGTGCAGCATTTCTTCCATGTTAAGCTAAGCAGCAGTAGGCCCTTTGCCTGACTGCATCACCTGACCGTGTCAATCATAAAAAATGGTTGTAATGCGAAATATATGCACCAGAAATGGAAAGAACATGATGAAATTAGTAAGATTTCCAATTTTGAGGTTACTGACAGGCAAGATTTTAGAACAGTTTTAGTTTGACAATTTTAAACAAAAAATAATTTGAGTATGTTTGATGGCAAAGCTCACCATCCAGCAATGTTTTTATTTACAAGTCTACATGTAACTTGTGAATTTTTTTAGACCTTTAGTCTGTTAGATAGCCATAACATCTTCCACTTGAACGTCAGTGGCCTTGAAATTGGAGATCTTTAGTTACTTAATTCATCACGCATTTTCTATCCCTGGTATCTATTTGAACTACCACACCCATTTTTTATATGATTGACAAGATCATGTGACATGGTCATGCGAAGAGCATTTACACAGTGCTTATTGTGTAGTCACGAATGTTCTTGGGTGTGCTTGATTCTAATCAGGGCAGCTGAACTACCTGGTGTCAAATTTCAATAGAATTCTCAATTTAAAACCTCTTCCAAAACAAGTGTCTGAAGATTGCCAATAATTCCTGCTGTTGCAGTCTATTATGATGCAAGATGATACAGTCTATTATCAGATTTATTTCAAGGGGAAACGATGTTATTATTAGCTTGACTGTACCAACAGGCTAGAATTTCTTTGAGGAACATGGCTGTGTTCCAAAAGCACCCAGTTGCCACAGACAGCTAACTTTGGGCAACTGGAAAAAGTTACTTTTTTCACATTAAGCTTTTTAATTATAAAGTGCTGGGCACTCAGAATTTCATGGTTGGGAACTTTTGAGTACCTCATAATTTTTCTTAGATCACAGCCTTGGGAATATCTTGAAAAGTAAATGATAATTTAATATTACATATTGGTGAACTGCACTTAAAAAAATCCCATTTAAAAGGAAATTATATAATTATTTTATCTAGTTTAAAATGTTTTGTCATTGATAATGAAGAAACCTTTTCATATATAAAAATATTGCAATTCTAATGTAGACTAAAATTTAGTTTAATTATTATTTATAATATTTTTTATTTAATATTTATTTGTTCAGAAATAAATATATTACTAGGAGTATTTTAAAAGCAGTTGTTTAAGGCTTGAAGTATTATTAAATATTTGTAATAGTAATGTTAATGTAATTAAAATTTATTCATTATTTAATGTTTTATTTTCTTCTATTGCTAAATAAATAGCTTTGACTTGGGGAGAATTTATGTGGAGAAAAGTTGTCCCAAATAGAATGGTCACCTCAACATAAAGAAACCCCAGACGAGATTATTTTTCATACATTTCTTGATACATGTATAGGCTGCATCGGTTTTGACATCATTACCATTGAGCATGCATGAAACTAGAAAGGGCAACAAGTGGCTCATATAAGTGCTTAGTGCAGTAAAATATATATTATTAAAGACCTGTGATGAGAAATCATGCACTGATGACCCAGAATAGAGCATTTTCATATAATGTCATCAAATTCTTAAATCCAAAACTAATTAGTACCAGCAAAGTTTTTATCCTCATCAGGCATAAGAGGTACTAAATTTATGTCTGTTTACAGCTTTCCAGCTCAATAGCATTCTTCGTTTGGAAACTAGCGCATTTTGAATTTCATTGCCATGACATAAAGCTGCATAAAGCTACGATCACGTTTGTCGCAAAATATGTATTTATCTCGTGATGTTTAGCCGTTTAAGACGTTATAGTATTTGGAAAAGTGCTTATAGGACTGCTTCTTTGTTCAGTGCAGATAATCAGTGTCCTAGATAACCAAAGTAAGTTCCAGATGTTGACACTATTTTCTGGCTGCCATATTGGTGTACCACACAGGAACACGAACATGGCTACTCCATACTAGGCTCAGTAAATTTGTGCGTAACATTTTGACTAATATCTAAACTTTGGGACAATGCACACACCTTAACCTCAGAACTTTCTTTTTTTATTTATCTTCTATAATATCACAATTTCTTGACTTTGTCCTCTGAATGGTTTTTGATTATATTTTCTAATTGCATGACAATGAAAACGCTCTCATACTGACTACAATGGTTCATAATACGATTATTATCATGAACCAGGAAGATGAAAAGCATTGAAATATTGAAAACAAAACATGGAGTACTGTGCATAAATATATTTATTTTGATTTTATTGATATACCTGAAACATTCACCCCTCATTTGCGAGCAAAAAATAATTATTTATTTATAAGTTATTAATAATTCCTTTCAGGATTGTGCTGAGGTAAAAAGGTGTTAAAATCCAACTCTTTTTCAAGAAGTATTTAAAACTAGAAAACACAATCCATGGGAGCTCTCCATTTACCAAAAATTTTGGTTTTCATTTTCCGAAATTTCCAGTGGTGAATGGCACAGCATTTTCCACAATTTCTTGAATAAAGGACAACCTAATTTCCAAAACTTTCTTACCTGGAATTTCTGTTCAATTTGATTTGCAGGGTTTGCACTTCATAAAGTTAACAATTTTCGAGTTTACTGGAAATTTTCTAAAAATTTCTGTGCCAGACTGCCCCCATTTCCAAAGTTCTGGTATTTTTGGTTGAATAGAAAGTTCCCAGTATGTCAGTTCAGTGTTAATTATTCTGTATTCCTTGGCATTCAAACATTTTGCAAAGCGATATGCCTGCACTGCAGGCTGCTACATGTAATTTGTGTTTTGGTTTGAATCCTGAGGAATTCACAATGGAACTGACAGAATTTTGCATTAGAAAACATTTCAACCTTGAAACAATTTCAAATGGAAATTGAAAAGTTTTATAATGATAGTTGTTTCAAATAAAGAGTTCACTCAAAGTAGAATAATTTAATCTTATTAAATCATTGCGATGCAGATTAGAAGTTATGTAGGCAGGTTTACATTATTAGCAGTGGTCCAAGCATTTCATCTGCGTTGCCATAACATACAGTATTATGCGACAAAAATACTTCATTGTGATTGGCTGAGAGCAGGCCAATTTATTGTAACTTTAATTCATTTGCAGTGCAAATAATGCAGGCACATTTATAACTTTCTTTTAATATTTATTTTTGTCAAGTAATAAATGATTTAATTTCACCAAAGCTTGAGCAATTGAGGGTCTACATTACTCTTTCAAATTGCACTCACAAAAAGCCTTGTGAATTTTGAGAGAATTTCAAATATCACTCGTAGTATAAATTCTTATTTACACACGCATTCATATAGCTTACCTAATATATATATATATATATACATATATATTTATTTATTTATTTATTTATTTATTTATTTATTTATTTATTTACTTACTTACTTATTTAGCAAGTTGCCTATTACTATTACATGAGATGGGTGCAGGAGAGGAAGGGAAAGATTATTATGGGCTTTGTTTATCCTTTCCTCTCCCCCTCCCCTTATTTATTGCACCTTTCAATAACGCACGAACTCTGCTCAATCAGCGGTTTTGTTTTTCGCTGCCGTCAATCATCATAGCGACCCTCAGGGTCCTGCGAGGAAACTGCAGTTTAATAACTTCAATGGGTTTAAGTTACGTCTGTGGGTTGTGATTGGCCGGCGAAATAAGGCTTTGAACTTCAGGGTTCGGGTGTTATTGGAGAGCTCATCCCTAGGCCTTGCGGTCAAATGTGTACCACTGCATGGCTGGCGGGATTTGTCGCGCGAGTGTCATGTTTCAGCGGCAGAGTCGCGGACGCTATGATAGAGTACATGTGTCTTTAAATTGTTTCTTGTTCATATTAGGTACTGATGCTTCATTAAACTATTGAGAAACGAGTTTTGTCAGTTTTTTTTTAATTTTGTTATGGTTTACTTGTGAGGCTTTTTGGTCTGAAGTTTTTTCATCAGTCTGATGTCAAATTCAGCCGGATTTGAAACAAGGATGGTTTCAGAGCTGGAAGTAGAGTCACGGTTAGTGCGCTCGCCTCCGGATCGAGTGGTCCGGATTCGAGCCCTGGCCGGGGACATTTTCTTGTGTTCTTGGGCAAGACACTTAAATCTCACAGTGCCTCTCTCACCCAGGTGTATAAATGGGTTCCCGCGAACTTAATGCTGGGGGTAACCCTGCGATGGACTAGCATCGCATCCAGGGGGGAGTAGAAATACTCCCAGTCGCTTCATCGTACTGAAATCGGGATGAACACTGGTCTGTTTGGGCACTTGACTCGTATGCAGACTTTGCCTTTACCTTACAGTTAATCATTAGAAACACGACCATTACCACTGAAACTGTCAAGAGTTTAGTGAAAAATACAGTGACCTTATTCACTGATTGGGAGGGCTGGACGAGAGACTTGAGGTCATGGTGTACTGACTAAGCCTAGCAAGTCCGTGCAAGAGTTCGAAAGTCCAACTTTATCTGTCTGGAATAACGAGAGGAGTTCTTGCCGATTGCACCAGTATATGCCTAACTATGCTTAAGAAATCAGCTTTAACTGTTTCGCGAGATGAGCGGATAAACNGTCTCTTAACTTCCTGGATACAAAGGACTGTGTGCTTACCGAACATTTTTCAAACTTATAATGGCCGATTTTTGGCATTTTCTTGAGGAAAATTTTGGAATATTTGATGCACTTCCGTGGTTGATTTGACATTTGATACTCTTAGCAACATTTTTTTAGGATCAAGTTAGCATCTCTGAGAGCATGTACATGTACCAAGGATTGGGTAAATGATTTTCTCACTTCTTTCTCCTTGGATACGTGTACAGTACTTGTACACCTGAGGAGTGATATAGTGGCGGGAAGCTGACCCTTAGACTGGTGAGTCCGGGTCTGAACTCTGTGACGACCTTCAGATACATGTACGGCTACATGTACATGTGTCTTGAAATTCTGACGCCTGCCTGTACACTGTACTTCAAGATTGTTGCTCATCCAGCTTTTTCAAAGAAGCCCTGACAGTTGTGTTGACATTACCTAGCATTACTACAGCAAGGTCGCAATGTTTTTAGTTAGATATTATTCTGTTTTTTTTTTTTTTTTAAATTCACCATAAGCCCTAAACTTCAGATAATTTGGCTGAACATGGTCTCTTTCCAACCAGGTGCATATGGCTACCGGCAAATGTATTGCTGGAAAGTAGTCTCATCCTACTCAGTTTACTTACTTACTCACTTGGCACAATGCAGACTACAAGATTAAAGATATCAAGAGAGAGACAGGGCATTGTCGAGGTCACCTTTTAGACTAGCTTGTGGACAAGGACCTTTAAATTTGTCTCATTAAATGCAGTTAAATGCAATTTAATGGAGTTAACAACAGAGAGTGCCTGCATTCCCATGGTCGTCAGTGGTATTTCTGATATGTGCATGCACCAGGATTCCATGTGCTCCTGGACTGAGACATGCTGGCAGCCCTCACAGTGATAGCGTTTACAGTGAGCGTTGTTTTGCATGGGAGCACATCTTCAAGCATTCCCCCTCCCTTCACTCCCTCTTTCCACTGTTAATTCATTGTGACGGGGCCTGTCTCCCCTTCCGCATGGGGGCTCACGCCAGCCACGGGGTGGTCTCTATCTAGGAGCTGGCTCCCAATAGTGGAAGCTCCTGGATATCGCAGGCACCCAACTTCTATTTTAGTGATGCAGTTGTTAAAGACTAGTTAGTGAGAGTCTTGGCTCACAAGTCTGCTAAAGGAGAATTTTTTCAGTGTGGTATGTTAACGTAGGCTTGTTTTCACTGTTACTACAGATATTCATTTCCAAGTCGTATGACGCCACCACACATTTTGAGACAGTCTGTGAGGACATCATGAGCATGTATGAGAGGATCACAGGAGAAAAGTTTGACCTAAGTGCAATATCTCTTGCAGAGGTAGATGTTGAAGAATCGTAACATAAAATACAAATAATTATTGATAATTGTAGCTTATAAATGATTAAATGTAACAATTGTAAGTACTGGGATTATTTGCAGTAAGCATGTTTATAAACCCATGCACA